AAAAAAAAAAAAAAAAAAGAAGAAAGATGACATAGGGCGTCTCGCTCGGGTACTCACTGCATGCACAAAAGACAAAACATATGTCACTGCAGTGTAGCTTCCCATGTTCTAGCGGAAGGTTCGTTCTCATTTTGCACATTTGGTGAGTGGAGCAAGGCCCACTACTCAGAAAATGGGCAAAGGACAAAAAGTATGGTGGCGTATCTGCCCATGTTCTAGCGGAAGATACCTTCTCATTTTGCACATTTGGTGATAGTTGGAATTGCAGCTTGGAGAAAAGGCGAAGCTTCCTTTTTTTTTTTGTGGTGGGGGGGGGGGGACCACGCAGGAGTCACCGAAATGAGTTATAACTGCACTACGGGCCAAGGTACAGTTTCGGATTGCAGTTTGGGCAATGTATACAACCCAGCTTTCTGGCCAGATAGGGTGCCCGAAGTGCAATTGCAAACTGTATCTGGCCCCATAGTGCAATTAAAAATAGCTTTTGTGACTCTACTGAAGTTACCCCTTTTTTTTTCATCCTGCTCTTCATCCTCCTTCCCTCTTCCTCGTCAGGGCTTTCTTTTTATTTTTTTAAGGGGCTGCAGGTGTCAGGATCAGGAAAAAAGGAAAAACGGCGAAGCTTGCCCGACAGATGGGAAGCTCTGCCGACAGCCAAGGGCAGATCAAAACAAGAGAGTGTGGTTATGACATGCACAAAAGACAAAACATATGGCCATGCATCTTCCCTTGTCCTAGCATAAGATTCATTCCTCATGTTGCACATTTGGTGAGCAGTGGAGCAAGGCCCTTAGAGTGTGAGGTCTCCAGTTACGGCGAATTAGGGATACCGACTGGCTGGGTGCATGACACAGGGCAGTAAGACAACCATCAACCCTCTGGTGCTCCCCAGAGAAAGGTTGGTGACGAGCGAAAGGACGTCCAGACGTTTCAGAAGAACTACAGAAACTGCAAAGTCGACCAGCAGGGGAAAGGCGGAAAGGACAAGAATAGAGTACAGTTGGAGAGAAAAAGGGAGGGAGAGAGGAGGGAACTGGCGAGCATCAGTAGCTATCTGGCGCCTGGTATCAGTCGGAGAGGTTCTCCCCCTTCAAATGACCTGTTCAGTCAATCCTCTGGAATCCAGAGCAATCAATGCTGACAGGCGTTCCTTAGCAGTACCCCTGCACAGTTAATCCTCTGAGTATCTGCTTGATGTAAGATGGGACGCTGGACCCGGTTTTCAGCAGGTGCGGCTCCCCACCAATAGATTGGAGCAACCAGGAAACCTGCTAAGGGGGGATGCTCTTATCACCTCTCCTAGCAGGATTTTCGGTAAATAAAAAAAAAAAAACGCATGAGTAGAACTATCTACCCCCCCCCCCAAAAAAAAGCCCCCGCGACCCCCCCAGCAGAAAAAGGTACAACAAAGAAAAAAAGGAATAGGACCTGTAGTCCAAAGGTAAGGAGTTCAAACCGCATGCCATAATGAATGATAAAGAGGGATTCTTTGTTTTTTTTTTTTTTTTTTGATTCTTTGTATGTATAAGCCACTCAGATTCGGAAACGGACCCCGGCCTCAATCTTCTTTTGGTAATATCAGCCTTGGACACTGGGCCCCTCTTAAAAAAAAAAAAAAAAAAAAAAAAAGATTCAGAAACGGCAAAACTACCGTTTAAAAACGGTAAAACTACCGTCTCGAAACGGCAAAAGTACCGTCTGGAAATGACAAAACTACTGTCTTGTCCGAACAGAGTGCTCGGTCATTATATCTGTATTTGGTGCAACTTTCAGTCTAGATACAGCGATAATGACGGGGCGTTCTATTCGGGTGAAGACAGCAGCCCGATCATGCACCTTCATGAGCCGATACCCAAATAAAATCGACATTGTGCGCTTTGTAACACCAACTACAGACGCATACGGCATCGCTGCACTACTCTTGAAATGCACAAAAGACAAAAATCACGTCGCTGTATCTTTCCATGTTCTAGCGGAAGATTCACTCTCGTTTTGCACCTTTCAAGAGTAGTGCAGAGAGGCCCATAGCCTGCAACTGGGGAGTTTGAGTGGGAAAGATTTAAAAAAGGTAGGAATGGTTCTTGGGAGGGTCATGGGGGCCGGAAAAGAAAGGGGGCGGGGATGGGTGGATGTGCGGGGCAGACAGGGGTGGGGCAGACAAGTGTGGGGGAGGGGAAGCACTAAGAAGAGAAAAGAAAGAACAGGACGTGCCCAAACTGCAAATGCAGAGAGGGATTTGAACTCTGGGAAGTATGAGGAAACGTCGACTCAGAAAAAAAGAAAAAAAAAGGAACGTCGAGTCAGGTAGACATGGTTGTGGGTGTCTTTTTTTTCATCTGGTTCTTTTTTTTTTTTAACAAGTGGACTGGCCGGAGATACGCTGTGGCGAAAGACGATGACAAAAACATTTTGCGAAACACCCCATCCATCAGTTGGACCCCATCTCTGCAATGTACCCCTACCGGACGCTGCCCAACTTTGCAAAATGCCCCGAGCCCCCGGCAGTTGCCAAGTTTTGGTAGATGCAAATGCAAAAGGCCAAGCAAATTTGCACACCCACCTCACAGGGGCATAACACAAACATGTCAGTCCAAAAGGCCATTCCACTGTGGCCATATCTTTTAGGGACATTTTGACATGGGGGATTTGGAAAATTACCACAGCCCCCCAAAAAAAGGAGACACTCTCTCTCTCTCTCTCTCTCTCTCTCTCTCTCTCTCTCTCTCTCTCTCTCTCTGTTACATGCTGCGCCTGCACAGGAGGGCCATTTTCCAGGCCCTGCGTCGTTCAGGCTGGAAGCCTGAATTTCAGGCTCAAGGCCTGGAAATAAGGGCCTGCAGACCCCAGGACCACAGGACGTGCATCGTTTTAGCCAAAAAAAGGCCTGAGCCTTTTCAGCCTGAAACTGAGGGCTATTCCCGGGCCTGCAGACCCCATGACGGTTCAGCTCGAAAGCCTGACATCCGGGGC